GACAGGGGGCTACAAAATAATGAGAACAAAAGTCAGAGTGAAATCCATCATCAACTGAAGACATGAACCTGGGGGCCTCTCAGGTCCCAGACCTATACCCTATCTACTAACTGATTGGGTCTTTGGAGCAAATTCTCCCTATCCTCTTCCCACTCCAGATAGTCAGCCACAATTTGCCGTTGAGTAAGAAATTTGATTCTACTTTCAGGAAAAACAGTTCAGTTCAGGATTTGAAACTTCTGTCTTGGAAATGAAGTTCCAGGCCATCCATATTTAAAGCAAAAGCAAAGTTAGAAGAAAAGAACTTTGAAGCAATACATAAACCCAGGGGTCCCCAACCTCTGGACCGTGGCCCACTACTTGCATATGTTGAGCTGCGCATGCATGTATATGCACACCAGCCCACTGCTTGGTGAGTCAAGCTGCGTGCATGCACCAGCCCAACATCCAATGCCTTGGTTCCCCTCTTCCCCCCCCCATCCAGATCACCAAACCGCAAAGGTTGGGGACTGCTGCATAAACCAATTATTTGAAATTGGCATCTCCCCCATATAAGGAGAGGCTAAACAGAGATTGACAGAAACATAGAAAACCGACAGCAGAAAAAGACCTAGTAGTCCATAAAGTCTGCTCCTTCAGGTTTTTTTATTTTTATTTTTTTAATGTTTGTTGGATGATGAACATGTGTGTTATCCCAAGCATGTTTAAGCTCATTTGCTGATGATTGACTCACTACCTCTGCTGGAAGTTGGCTCCAAGCTTCCATTACTCTTTTTTTTTTGAACTAATATTTTCTAAAATTATTTTTGAATTTCCCTCCTGTCAGTTTGAGGTTGTGTCCCCGTGTTCTTGATTTTTGCTTAATTTTAATTTTTGATCTATGCATTAAAAAGCAATCCAGTAAACCCACATTTTTCCAAAAGTTAAAAATACAAACCCTGGAGCTCAGAAAAAGTGAACTGAGATAAGCAGCTGTAAGCTCCCCTTATTGCAATATATATGTTAGATATACTAAAAGCAGTTCTTTGGATCCACCTTTTTCCATAAAATTCAAAGCAACAATACATATTCTTTCAGTATATACATTCACCTACAGGGCACACAAAAAGACAGAATTAGTAGAAAACAATAATGTATTTTTGGTGAAGATAAGTTATGTTCAGGTGCACATTAGTTTGTAACACAGACAGAAGTTTATTTTAAAAACCAACATTTGCACTGTGAAATTCTACAAGGAGGAGTATCAGCTTAAAAGTCACATTTAAATATCTATGGTTGTATTTTAAATTCTATGTACAACAATTTTTATACAATGGTTTTACTTATGAATAAACATTATTAAAAGTTCTTTACAGAATCTATATTTGTTTGAAAATGTGCTGCTTGTACACAGAAAGTCAGGACCTTTATATTAGGATCTCATATTCTTGGCAAATCTTACTTCAAAATAGCCCTATCCAGAATGCTGAATTGCTTTGTGTCCTTTGTGACAAATACTTGAAGGAAAGGAAACATCAGCACAGGTTTCCAACAGTTCAAAAGGGAAAGGGAAGTTGCTCATCTAAAACGTGCTCTGAATTAGGCAACACTCATATCCTACAGACATGGCAATGCCATTAAATATTTTTCTGTCACAATCCACATAGTGGAAAATATCTCTTGTAGCTCAGATATCATATTTTAACAATCACCTACCAAAAAATGAAGCCTGAGGATATGATGCAATGTAATGTACTAATATAAACTGGCATATTAAACTCATATCTATGAGGTCAGGAAGCATTTTGATGAAAGATTAGATATAGAGAAAATGGTGTTTTAGCATCCCAGATACTGTAATGTGGATGCTGTCTAGTTATAGGCCTAGTGGCTGAAGTGTCTAATGCAGAAGGTCTGTACCAGCAGCTGTTCTGTAAATCATTACTGCATTTTTTTAAAAAAAAAATCACTTTTTATTGCTGTGGCTTCTAAAAACAAGTCATTTTTATATCTATGTTTAATGAGGTGGCATTTAGTAGCTTCCTGCTCCAGCCTGTGTTTCCGGAATACAGATATATATGTGGTTATGCTGTAACATTATAATAAGTATAATTTGCTGTAATGCTGGGTAGAAGCAAAAAAAAAAAAACCCAAGAGATTGTAGCATAAAGACCAGATAATGCTTGAAAGATGGTAGGCTATAGATCAATGATTCAACAGTTTAATGAGGCAGAAATGTCACCTGGTGCCTTCTATGCAGTCACACAATTGTCACTATTTTAACGAAACACAGAGTTTCTTCCAGTCTTGGAGCACATTCTTGCTTCTCTTTTCCACATAAAAAAATGCAACTAGGAATAAAGAGCAAGTTGAATCTACAGTCCATTTGGTTCCCACATAAATTAACTGGGAGGGCTTTTTTCTGGTTCTCCACTTGTTTGTCAACAAATATTTCAGCCCAGAAGACCACATGAGATACCAGACTACATGTACACATACACACAGTAACACTGCTTAAGTTTGCTACCTTCTTGTCAGTAAGGAAGCAGTAATATTCCACAGAAGCTGGCATCATTAGGTAATCCATCACTTTGCTGTAGCTACTAGACTACTAGTACTATAGTAATTAAAAAATACAGCATTAATGTCACTTTAGGAGATCACCAGTCAGCTTTGGAGATACACTCCAGGGAAGAGGCAGAGCAGACTCTCTTCCCTGGTGCAGCTTCCTGGATATTATGATTTCCAGCTGCCAGCTATGTATAGTAAGAAAGCTGGCTACTTGAATGTCACAAAGAGACTCAATGAGAGTCATATTCTGTATATATTCAACCACGATCTAAGGGTATACACCAGCGTTTTTCAAGCTTAGAAACTTTATGATGTGTGGACTTCAACTCCCAGAATTCCCCAGCCATCATCCTGGCTGGGGGAATTCTGAGAGTTGAAGTTGAATGTTAAGGTTGCTAAGTTTGAAAAACACTGGCCTACCAAATCCTAACCTTCACAACTTTCAGAAAAAGTGCAAAAAAATATAGCTGGTATATTCTGTCATTGCTTCTGTCTTAAGTGACTAAGAGCTACGAGTAATGGCAGGAACCGTGTAATGGCAGGAATCTGACTGTCTGAAAATGGATTTCTCTAGTAAGAGAATGCATCTGTCATGATCACAACATGGAAGAAGCATTTCTTTAGCCAGATTCACATTCAAAACTATTCATTATCTTAACTTCTTCCAAATTCAACTCATGATAGGTTGAAGAAAATTGGGAAGCATCAACGAGATTAGATATTTAGGATCTTCCCTGAAACTGTAAATCTGTGATATTTGGAGTTAAAAATGGTTATTGCAATGCTTTGCTTTCTATATCAGCTGACTATGTGGGATAGTGGGTGGCTATGAAAGGGATGCATATATGCAACATATTAATAGTTGTCAATATATATATGTAAGAGTAACTGGGAAATTAAGAGTTATATTACTATATTCTCATGGATAAGCTGAAAACTTTAGATGCCAATTCACCCCAAAAATTTGGATTGGTTTATCCATGGATAGACTTACCTACAAGTACTAGGATAAGTTTTCCACTCAGAATTTTTAAAGTACCTAATATATCCCTATATAGGCCTATCTGCAAATAAGCAGACCCTCAAATATTTAAGCAAAAGTCATAAAAAATGTGCCACTCATGGGTAAACCAATTGTGAAAATTACATCAAAATTTCAAGTGTTAGTTTATCCATGGGTGGGATATTTTTCATGGCATTTTAGTGAATGGCAAGAATATTCCAGGCCCAGCTAGTGCTCCTTCAGCTTGTGCAATGGGGTTGTATGATGGCTTTGTCCTCCACACAATCAGATCAATTAAGAAAGCAGGTAGCAAGGAGAAAAAACTTTGTCCCTCCTCTTTCTATACTTCCCAGTTGAGGAAGCTTACACAACTACAACAATTGTGGTATGCAAAAAGCAGACAGCTTTAGTGGGAGATAATAACTTGAAAAAAGGGTTGATCTCCAAGCAAAAAATTCACGAGTCAGTTTATCAGCAGATGGGTTTACAGAAGAGTACATACCCATGATGGCGAATCTATGGCACATGTGCCACAGGTGGCACGCAGAGCCCCCTTTGTGGGCACGTGCGCCGTCACCCCAGTCCTAGGCCTTCAGCTGGGTTTTATAAAACCTTTTTGCTTTAGGCCTTCGCCCTGTGCAAAAAAAAAAGGTTCAATCAATCAATCAATCAATTTCAACTTCTCGTGGGGAAAAAAATCTTGCAAAGTTGGAATTGATTGAACTTTTTAGTCCCACCCAGTCTTCTGTTACCACCGCAGCCACGCCCATCCAATTGGCCACACCTGCCCAATTGGGCCACACCCACCCAATGGGCCATGCCCACCCGGCACCCGATGATACGTAAGTGGGTTTTGGGTTGCAGTTTGGGCACTCAGTCTCTAAAAGTCTCGCCATCACTGGTATATACAGTATTGAAAGGTGCTGTTGGCTTGAGAAATGCAATCAGAAATAACATTCAAGGTATTCAGAGGGGTGGTGTGTGTACATCACTTTTCTTTGCCTTGTTCATTTTTCTGCCTTCCCTTTTTGTCTTTCCTTCTTAGCTCTAGGAAGTCGCCATTTAACGTCCAAATAAAGGTGATAACATTCAAGCTTTCTTGTCCATCACAATGGCACTCACTGCAATTAACTTATTCCTTTTCACATTTTCCTCAGAACATAACAAAATGTGAAAAATGCCTCCAAATCTATGATAGATACTGCTACTGATGATCATGAGAGAGTCAACGGCACAGATTCAAGTGCAGAATCCCAGGACGGGAGGAATTAGTGTAGTACTAATGACTTATTTTCAAAGCTGAAATTCACACCTACAGATGAGTAACACATACTGTTTGTTGCAATTCTCTTTGATTCATGTCCCATTGGACATACCTAAAGAGGTTTAGATGCCTGGTTTGAAGGAAGAAATGCGCTGGTGAGCAGACTATCCTCCATAATCCTTTCTAATCCAAGTCTATGGATATACAGCGGCATTCTTTAACTCGAGTGATCCTCTTTTTCTTGATTGGAGGTTGCATTTCTGGGCAGGACAGTGTAACCACCATGGTGGTGAATTTCTTTGGCTTGCAGAATGAACATGATTGGAAGGAACCTTCTTCTCTATGGATATGCCTTGGGATATAGAATGAATTGCACTGGCCATAACAGAATCTATTAATGATGGTTTGGCTTCTGCAGCCTTCCTCTTGGATTGTTTGCTTAAGCGGATGTGTTTTGCACCAATCCCTTTTCAGATACTTTCGTTCTGTGACATGCAATGCCTCTTGGCTTGATTCCAGCACCTCTTCAGTAGATTTGGCCTTCTCCTTCCCCCGGGGTCTGGAACCGGGCAGTGGTGGCTGCTGGGTCTGTTCGGAGTCATTGGGCTGGGCTTTGTCAGGAGAAGGGATGGTTCCTTGTGATCCGCGGTTCCTCTTGCTGCCCTCTCCCGAGGGCAGCAGAAGACTCAACAAAAGGAAGACACCAACAGCAGAAACTATGCAAGCCATTCTAAGAATACAAAAAAGGAATATTATCAGGTTGTTTTCTACCAATCAAAAAGTATATCCAAAGCTACAAAAAAGATTTTCTGCGCTAGAGAAATTCAGAAACTTGATTGAAACTTAATCTACTTATAGTATGTTTACTAACAACAACAATAGCATCAAGTTAATATACTGGATTTTATTATTTGAGTCAAATCAGTGGTGCAAATTTTGAATGCTTATCGCAACTTTTTTTCCATTGCTGGCAATGGGGTGGGTGCGGTTTTGGCATGACGCATCCGGCCCGCAGGCCGGCAATTTGACACCCCTGAAATAAGACTGTGGCAAATAAATATTATATTAAGTGTTCCAACCAAGGTTACTCTATTCACCCAAGTCCTTTATTTACATAAAAAATGTAAATAAAACTTGGGTAAGACCAAGTAAAGCAAATAGAGAGAAGTTCAAATATTCCATGAAAATATTTTAAATGAAACCTGGGGCTTTCACACTAAGACCCTCCACGAGATTTTAAAATCTCTTTCATTTCTTTAAAGATCTGCAAAGGAAATCTCATTCCCATGTTTTTTTTTACTACATATTTAGATTCAGACTCCATAAATTGGATTTGCAGTAGCATAATTATCACTCAACACACTTAATTGCCAGCCTCAATGACAGGTTCACGATAAGGGATGTGCGGCTGAAAAGAAAGGATTTCAAAAAAAATTAAAAACTCAATTTTCAGAAAAATTAGTTAAAGAAAAACAAAAATAATACTAGCTACCTATTATACAGCAGGGCCCTAGAGAAATTGAGAGCCAAATTGTGTGGACCATTAAGACAACTTCTTTTTCTTTTTCAATTTGCAGTATGGAGTTGCAGAGAAAAGAAATGGAAAAATAAGGTTAGCATGATGGCATATTTTTGTTCTCACTGCAATAGATTGTGGTTCCTCTATCTACTCATGCTGGCTCTGATTAGGTTTCTAGGAGGAGCAAAATGATTTAACCTTTCCACATATACATTGCTTAGCTCTGTTGGGAATCTGGGAAAGGAAAAAAATATTTAAAACATTACATATTATATTTAGTTTGGATACTCCAATAGGAACCAATGGCCCATGTGGCATTAAATTGCTAATGAAAGAATGCCACTTTATGCCACTATGGTTAATAGATTTCCTTAAATATTGAGACATCTTCCCCTAGGAAAATGCAGAAAAAAAACTTGAAGATGAGTTGTGTGTGAACAAAACTCATTTAGACAAACAAGTTCAGGTCATTAATTTGAGAAAAATATTGCTACAATAAAATAGAGTTTAATTTCATAGTTAAATGCAATATAGTTTCTGAACCCAAAATATTTAAGAATCTAAACCAAAGGGTAAAATTAATTCTAGTACTGTCTCATTTTGCATGTCTTGGCCTCCAGTCAGATTAGGCCATAATTTTCCTATTATTTTACATGTTTCTTTTAGGATGTAATTACTTAATTTTGTTTTAGAATTTTCAAAACTTGTTTTTCTCAGATCAACATAGGCCAACATGGACTACATGTAGGGTTTAGCAACTACTCATAAATTATAATTGGCAAGTAATGTTAAATTGTCAACATATGAATCTCATGCTTATAGTGCACTGTAGTAAACTCCCAATTTTTTTAAAAAAAGTTCAATTGGTAGCTTTTAACACTCCTGACCTGGTTTACATGACATCAAACCCCAAGTCTGGTGATCTTTCTCTGGTAAAAAACATGTTGCATTGATTTATGGCATGATCATGTTAATCAAAGAAGCATAAACTCTGACAGATTCCAAAAGAGTAGAGCAAGAAATAACAAGTAAGAATAGTGAGATAAACAACAAATAAATACCGTGTTTCCCTGAAAATAAGACCGGGTCTTATATTAATTTTTGCTCCAAAAGATGCATTAGGGCTTATTTTCCAGTTAGGGCTTATATTCGTGGAAATACGGTACTAAATGTGTCCATCTGGCTGACTATCTTAACTGGGGCTTATTTTTGGGGTGGGGCTTTTATTACGAGCGTCCTGAAAAATTATGCTAGGGCTTATTATCCAGTTGGGTCTTATTTTCAGGAAACACAGTATTACTGTATAAAGAGATTCTCTGTAGAAAGAGAAAGATCTAGGAAAGAAAATCAAGTACATACATATGATTTAACAGAAACTGAGATAATCAAGGACTTGATTAAACCCCAGGGTACTTGACAAGCCCCAACATTCCCCAATGGCCTTAATACCATATCCCCAGTTACCCAGAATTTGGCCAGTTCTTAAGATCCAGAATAAGCACTAGAATTCAGATGAAGTAGTCAATAGAATTCCAACCCCATTTAATTAACCCCTCCAATAAGTTATAAGGGCTTTAGATACAGCTCAGATTCTATACAGCAATTTAACATCTAACCAAAATAAAACTATTCAAGCTCACCTCTTCTCACTTGCATCCTCCCAAATTGTATAAAATACACAAATGTGCATTTTGATACCAGGTAGATCCCGGGCCCATGTGATTTTTACTAACTCCTGAACCTGAACCACTAATATACCTAGCATATTTTGATACACATACCCTCATTTTAGACACATTTTGTGAAGACCCAGCTCTCTGAAGAAGATTCTAATACTAGGAAAAGTGGTAGGGGAATAGAAGAGGATGACAAGCACCAAGGTGGATAGACTGAGTTACAGCAGAGAGAAGTACACTGTTAGTAGATCCAAGAGACTAAATTTGGGACAGATCCTGATGGAGAAAGTCTATTTATGTGATTGCTAAAAGTCAATAACAACTTGATGACATAAGCATCAATCAACATTGATTGCTGAGAGCTAGTTTGGGGTAGTGGTTAAGGTGTTTGATTAATGACCAGGAATCTGAGTTCTAGTCCTGCTTTAGCCCAAATGGGCCAGCTGGTTGATCTTAGCCTAGTCAGTTCTCTTGGCTTTAATTAGAAGGAACTGGCAAGCTGCTTTGGAAAAATTCTAAGAAAACTGCAGGGGAAGTCACCAGGGATCAAAACTAACCTGAAGACATCATTTTTCCTCCACTTTCAACAGAACTACAGCTGACTGGGCAACAACAACCTGACTCCACACCTGCTGCATGTCTTCAGCAGCATCCCTACCCTGGGTGCATTGCCTGCACCCAGAGTGGACCACCTCCCTACTCACCCCTGCCTAGATTTAAACCAATGTTTTTACCAGTTGTTATTAATCCTCTCTACCTGCATCAGTCCTTAATATGAAACTAACAGACACTCAATCTTGCAGACTGTGATAGACTTACACTGAGAATAGGAAAGAGAAGATAAGATTGTATTTTAGATACAACATACAATGCTTTACTTATTGGACCAGAAAAGGAATCCTTCCAGTTCAGCTTTGCTTCTGTCCTATAGCCAGATGACCTGGATTGTTCCCAGATAGGATACAATTGAGTTACTTCCATCATTATGGGTTACAAATAGGCCAAGACAAATATGATCATCTTTTGTTTGTTTTTTGATGTGACATCAAAGTCTGAGGGCCCAATATCAATGACAATTTTTTTTTCTCTCTCTCTGTATATATATATATATGGGTATGTGTATATGACATTTTAAAGAAAATAAACAGGAAGAACAAAAGAAAGAAAATTCAAAGTAGAATGCAAATGAGAAAACAAGTGTTAGAAACTATGGTTTTAGTCTATTAATTATGAATAACTGAATAATGAAAAGCCTAAAAATAATAAATTCAACACAGCAAAAATTAAACACATGAAACACATCTCTAAAACAATTGATAAACTAGCAACAGATACAAAGCAAATATAATTAACAATGCCCTACCTACTGGCAGTCGCAAGCTATTGGGTTGCAGTACAGTACAAACCTCGTAAGCCTGGAAACCCATTAAATCAGTATACTTTTTGAAAACTAATTCATTTATCAAGAAAGTTATTGAAATTTCACCTGTGAGAGGTTAAGGCAGATGACCTCTCCCCAATTTTCATCCCAGTAGCAATCATATGAGATAGGTTAAGATGAAAGAATAAATAATCCAAAATCACCAGTGAACACTTTTATTAGATAGAAATTTGATTCCGAGTCCCCCCCCCAAACTAAGTAAAACACTTAAACTGGCTTTAAAAGATGGAAAATGACACAACTGAATGTAAATGATCAAAGATATCTTTGAGAACATCTAATCCCAATGCAAGAATCCACTATTACAGCATCCCCCAAAGATGGTCATCTAGCCTCTATATGACTATTTCTAGTGAATGAGACTCCATCACTCTCAAACTCTGATTGTTAAAACAATCTTACTGTCAGATAATTTTTCTGATGTCCAGCTTATCTGTAATTTGAACTCACAGTTTTTTGTCCTGTCACTTACCTCATCTTCTACAGGACAGTCATAGTTGAAGATACCTATCGTATTTCCCCATAGTTTACCATGCTAAACATATCCAACACCTTCAAACATTCCTCTTTTTTTCTTTCCGAGCCCTTTATTATCTCAGTTAGTCATCTTTGGACACACCCCTGGTTCTCACTGTCTAAACCATACATGTCAAACTCGCGACGTCATGTGATGTCACACAACATATCGGAACTTTTTCTCCATTGCTGGCAAAGGGGTGGGCATGGTTTCCTGGTGATGTGTCCGGCCCATGGGCCAGCAGTTTGACACCCCTGGTCTAAACTTTAGTGATCAGAAGTAGATGCAATATTCCAGGAGCAGTCTACCAGTGAAAAATAAGGAATAACAATGACTTCTCTTGATCTAAACTATAGTAACTGTAGGATTGCATTTCTTTTTTCATTCAGCTACATCATGCTATTAATTCATATTCAGCTCCTTTTTGCCTATACCAGTACTGTTGCTTAATACGGTTCCTCCTCCATATTAAATTCTTCCCAGGCAAAAGCACTCCACATTTGTCTCTGCTGAAATTCGTCTTGCTTTGTTTGATTCAATGTTCTAATGCATTAACATCCTCTTGAATCTTGATTT